TTACCCAGCCCTAACATCTTATAAGCGAAGAAATGGAGGGGCGGCGTGGATCGCGCTAGAATCCTTCAATCCCGAATTCTGACCCATAAAATAAAAAATGGCAGTGGAAAAACGACACAGGAGCGTTATTCGATACTGCTCTGATTATGTTTGTCACCTCTCGGGTTGCACGTGATCTGTTCGAGATCGGCGCTCAATCCAATGCACCCGGCGATCCAAACGATTATCATGACATACAATCAAGGTGACTCGATGGTAGGAAAAGATCCACATGATGAATACCTTCACTTACATTCAGATAAACGCGGCGAGTTAGACCGGAAGAGAGCAACAGGACCGTGAACGAATGGTCCAGAACACCGATCACAGAGCACACTTCAGTCAAGGGGCCCGTTTCCTGAAACGGTAAAACAGAAAATGATGTCTGATTGTAAGACGCGAATAAGCTTTGATTAATAATAATAATAAATAATAGCATCATAGGGGTTTTACTATGCGGTTCTAACATCTAATTAGGTACGCAGGATTGTGGCACTTATTTGAGTCGGATTAATCAAGCAATGCAATGTGCAAGAATCATTATGACGAAGAAATCTATCCACGACTTGAATGAAGAAAGCAGCAGAACAGTGTTGCAAAATTTATTTCCGGAAACATTTCGTTGTATCTCTTCAGGTACATATACTACAATCAAGTAATATAATGAAAACTAACAAGTAACATTTACCGCGGATGCTGGTGCGATCTTCGTCTATCTACCAAGATATGACGAGAGTTACAAATGGCTCTTTCTGCCTGAACAGTTCAAGCTTCCATCATTTCATAGCAATTGCCTCCGCGAACTGGAGCAACCGAGAGTTTTGCGTGATGAGACCACTCTTAAATGTTGTGGTAGTATGTACCTAAAGAGATATGGTGATTTTTTTCAGGAAATAAATTGTGCTGCTGTGCTCTTTCGGGAAAAGGTTGTTTCAATATCCGTGACTTGTTTTTGAGCACAAAACTGCTAGGTTTATTACGAGAAAACCAGTGAAACTCTTAAAGACCATCGATTGAAGCATTCGGCTATCACGAACTTCACTTGCAATTAGACCGTGACTGACAAACTGGAAACGGATTACAGACACCGAGCACCATATCGATGTCATATGGGTGAGATTATTCTACAGAAAGTTTGAGATGTGAGGATTCACAAACAAACTGACCAATATTGCCCGAACAAGGTATCGTAACAGTATGCAACCTTGATATCACACCAGAACTCCCTTAATATCCATCTCAAACACAATATTGGTATTTCACCTGTTTCAGGTTGACAATTAAATTTTACAGTAATACTGATAAAATTATTAAAAAAAAGGCATACTGATAATGACACCGAGGCTAGTACATAACACGAATCAGGTACGCGACACAAATCAGTCAAACTGACCATGACAAACAAGGTGAAGAATAATTCCGCACTGTCTTCACCAGCTAAACGCGCCGACAGTTTCTTCGAATTGCACACTTCAGCTTGCTTTTGTAAATCTGTGGGTTTTACTTCATCATTCATGGCCGTTTCTGAATACCATTTGGCGGTCTGATCTGCGGATGATGAAACAAAACAGTTAAGAGGAAGAG